TTACATATTGGAAACGAGGAAACAGTGGAGACATACTACCTCCAATGCAGTCATTTCGTTACCGAGTCCAAACTCGTTCTACTCGCCGCATGACAGGCCAATAAACCGGGAGATGAGGTGTTGGAGCAAGGAATAGTGACTTTACTTGCATGGCTGGCAGACCCAGAAGACGGCAGACTGGTGTCCTGTAGAACCATCTTCCCCAAGTCAGAATTCAGTCTCCTTTTATACTAAAAAGGGGCGGGGTTGTGGTTTGTTGTTGTATACTTCTTGCTTTATGAATTGTTTGTCCTTTGAATCTGCTGTTCTTGCAGCTGTCCATGTGGATCAAATCATGGTGCCCCTGTAAAACCTCCAGAAGAACAAAGGCTATTCTCTATTGTGCAACTTGCCATCTCTACAGAAGTGCAGATGAGCTAACAATTTTAAAGATCAGGGCCAGGAGAATAGGCTTTCCTGTAGATTTCAGGCTAAAGGCAACTTTCTTTTTCAAATGGTGCAGAGCTACCAAGTCTGAGCCTAGAAAACAGGGCACAGGTTTAAAGCCAAAAAACAGATCTAACATAGGGTCAAAATTGTTATTTTTTATTACAATTTCCTTTTCAGCATCATAGATAATTTTACAAGAAACATGAGCAATTTTGAATTTTTGCTTCTTAATAACCGATAAGTGGACCAACTATTTTTTTGTGAGCAGAGATGCTGTGCGGGCATTGGGGTGACAGCAAACTCTTGTTGGGGTGGCCGACCCTGCAGCATGTCTGATGCCCCGAGTGTTGGTGAGGGTCACCCTAGCCAGGGGCTTTCTTCAGGAACCAGCATATGGGCATTGACATCTGGAGACCTCTTTTTCAGCTGCAGGTATTTTTTTCAGATACTGAGATTGAAAAATCACTCTAGCTGGGGATAATAAGGGAAAAAAGGGAAAGGAAAAGGGTTTGGAGTAGAGTAGGAGAGTAGGACATAAGATCACGGAGCCTGAGTGCTTGGCAGCGGGGCCTCGGGAGAGAGGGGAGCAGAAGTGGGGAGGGGCCAGTCTCCGGAACCAGCTCCTGTAACTGTCCCCGGGCCCAAGCCACATAGCTTTTAATTGGCTTGGGCCACCTCTCTGGGCTGGATGTCACCCTGGGCAGAACCTTGAGAATCGAAGTTAAGCGGTGGGCAGCACTCACCTAGGAGATCACTGAGGACTTCGTTCAAGTCCACAGTACCTTTTCTGGTTATGTGTCTTCACTTGTCCTTTATCTCAGGATCTGAGGAAGAGGAGCAAGGAACTCAGGGAGAGATCCAGGATGATATCCGACTGTGTTATGAGAGGACAGAAAAAGTGAAACAGGGAGTGAGGACACTTGCAACAAAGTAAAATGACTTCACAATTATTGCACAGAGCTGCAGGTGTGAGAGAGCCTAAGCCTGTCTCAGAGTGCAGGGGACAAGCGGAAAGGAATGGCAAAATTTCCACTGACAAATGAAATTTTGTTAAATAGCCTGCTACTGTTGTTTGTATCACTTTAATGAATGCAGGCATATTTCTGTGGGCATTTATAGGTTCACTCAACCCCACCAGCCCCTCTTGCCCCCATCGGGGATGGGCTTTCTCAAGCACAGTGCCCCTCCTGCTTAGGTGGACCACGCTGCTGGTCCTCGCCTGGGGCCGGGCTGCTGCAGGGCACTGAGTCCCCAAGGCACGGCCTGTGATACACGACAGGAAATTCTCTGCTCTTGACTGGGGCCTGCGTTTCCCCTGCAGTGTAAGAATGCTGGTGACTGAGTTAGAAGCATGCTTCCAAGCTGTCCATGTCCTTGGCATCCAGAAGCGGAGCCTGGAAGCTTCCGAATTTATCCAGAATGCGATCTACATTCACCTTCAGCAGGTGAGTGTATGTCCTTACACAAATGGAGAAATTACTGCAGCTTTCCTGGAAATTTCTCACCACTAGTCCATCTGATTTATCTGTGCTAGGATTCAGTATGGCCTGCTAAAAATTCTGGAGTGAGGTCTTGAAACCCTGATGAAGAGGATTATATATTTCATTTCTCTATATGATAGTCTTTTACTTTTAAAATTCAGAATTTTTGGTTCTTTCAGGAATTTCTGGGAGGGTTGGAGGTTCAACTTTGCTCTTACCATCTTTGCGACCTGTTGCTTTGTGCCTCTCACCTGTCTTCTGTCAATTGTGAGGCAGTTCCATTTATGACCCTGTCCGTTTGTTCATGTTATAAAACATAAAGTCTGTAAAAGTAGAGTCCCTTTTCCTACGAAGACATTCCACAAATACTCCTTTAACCTGGGTGTGGTTTTAATAAGACAGAATCATTACAACATGACCTTGCAGGTTGCTAGTGCAAAATCCCCAAATCAATAGTCTAGCTCAACATCTAAAATCTTTCTAATCTAACTTGGAATTTTATGGATAAGTGAAGCAGTTTGCTAAGAACTCAAGACCAGATTTAGAATACAGGCTGGTGTAGCTCAGCAGGTCCTCCCAAGATGATGCTCTGCCAGAGGGCTGGGCCGAGGGGAGAGGGCGTATCCTGCCTTCCCTGAGCTGACACTTTCATGGCAAAGACTTTCACCAGGTGAAGAACTTGGAGTTTCTTCTAAGAAGAGTGGGTCTGAAAAGAGTCCAAAAAGTGCGGGAGTGACAGAATACCATTTGTCTCAAGTAGGGGAGAGCGGCTGAAGGGCCACTTGGGGGACTCGTGAGTCCAGGTGGGCAGTGTTGGTGGCTTCCACTTGAGCGGTGGGATGGTCAGTGGGTAAAAGCGAACATATTGAAGGCATGTTTAGATGGTAAAAAGGAAAGGATGAATGCTGTCTGTGAAGGTAGGATGGAAAAAGGCCCAGGTTTCTGTGTGGATTAATGAGGCAAATGATGGTCCTGCTGTGCTCTGAGGAGGGAAAGCTGCAGAGGGAGTTCTGGGGGAAAACTGATGAGTTCAGCTGTGGGTAAAGTGAAAGGCTGTTCGATGTGTGGTCTGGGAGCTCAGGTGAGAGCCAGTAGTGAGTAGGGGGAGGGGAGAGGGACTTTCAAATCATTTTGTCTTGTGAGCACACAAATAAGTATGAGTAAAGACGCACTTAATACCTCTATATTCTGGATTTAAAGCCCAGTAACATTTTGCTATACTGACTGCAGACGTTCTTAATTTTATTTTAATAGAAATAAATAGAAACAAAATAGTGAAGCTAGTGAACATCTCAGAGTAGATGTGTGTCCTTGTATGTATTTTGATACCTCATCTGTTTATAACCATAATCTAGAAAAAGTTAGCTTGCTTAGCATAAGAGTTAAACAGAGGGAAGTGACACACACTGTTGGGGATTGAAGC